ATTCAGAAAGCATGGCGCACAAGTCATTAACATCATCATGCTTTTGTACCATGTTTTCTTGACCCCTTTGCTTGTCTTTCTTCCGAGCACGACACTCCGTAGATTTGTGTCCGGTTTTCCCACAGGTGTAGCAGTTTCCACTGAACCGCTTCTTGCTTGGGTTGTATTTCGGACCAGAATGCTTCCATGCCTCAATCACGAGAAAGCTATCATTCTCTGGAGTTTCATCTGGAAGATGAGGAACATCTTCCTTGATGAACTTCTGTAGACATAACGTAGTCAAGTAGAAGAACATCTTTTGCTGCCAGCGCTTGAAATCCATCCCGGAAAATTTTTCGGGTTTCTCTGCCGGTGCCAACGCTAGAGTTCGACTTGTCGATGCATTGTCAGTCATCATCGGAACAACTTGATTTCCGTCATTCGCCATTTTTACTGTAAAAATGACACAAACAAACGTTTAATAAATGTTTAAAACTGGAGTGAAAAATCACGTAGATTTTAATCTCCAACAAAATGCCACGAAGGCTTTTAAAACTGGAGTAAAAATCATGTAGATTTTAATCTCCAACAAACCGCCACGAAGGCTTTACTCTCCAAACGGGAGTACACAAAAACCACAAAGGTTTTAGGTTTCCAGAATAATAAGAATAACACAAATACAGAAATTAAAATTATTAAATTCCTTAAGATTGTTGTTCCTTGTGTACTTGTAAACAATGATTCTGGAAATTAAAACGTTAGCTTATTAACGTAAATATAAATGATATAAATAAAACACAAATTAATTCGAGCCCACTGAATTCACAGTGTTTCCTTAAGAAATTTAATCCCATCCTAGTACCCTAGGTTATGAATTATTTTCTCCCAGGATAGAACGTATTACACACTGGTGTAGCGGTACTTCAAACCCCTGTGTTTCAGCGAACACAAAGTTCGGCAGCAAATCACACTTACTGTTGCTTTGTTTGTAGTTAAAAACAATGCAGAATAAGGAGGACAACTCAGAAGTCGAATGGAAATTCTGAGAGGAAGGAATGCAAAATATAGCCAATGTTGAATTCTTACTGAAGAGAATATCAGATTGCAATTCGTTTTTCTAGTGTATACAGAGTGTATATCCAATATATACAGAGTGTATATCCAGTGTATACAGAGTGTATATTAAATGTATACAGAATGTATATTAAGTGTATACAAAGTGTATATTAAGTGTATACAAAGTGTTTCGAGTGTTTTTTCCGATGTGTTCTTCTTTTTCTCCAACTTATGCTCTATTTATAGCAGTTATTTGAGAGAAATCCGCCCCCTCCATGGTGCAACAAACACTAGGCTATCATGGAGGAAGCACTTACATGGTGGAATGTACACTTGCTTGGTGGGAGGAGCACTTGCACCATTGTGGGAGGTGCACTAGGCTGCTTATTGCTTAGTGTTGCAACACAATACACAGATTGGAAAACATCCGTTACAAACACGGATTATATCACGTTAATATTCACTATTAACAAATAAATTTGGTCCAAAAAATTAATCAATCGATCGATCATTTGACCAAATCCGAATCCAAATCCCATTTCCCATTCACTCTAATTTTAAGACTATTTCATCTTAAACAAAAACTCAACATAAACAACAATCCCAGCATAACTAATCACAACATAACTTATCCCAATATAACTTATACCGGCATAACTTATACCGATATAAATCGTATTCCAATCAAACGACCCCAAGTGAAATTTGTATAAAGACAGGCGCACTGTTAATGTATACAACAACATCGACCCAGTATAATCCCACAAGTGGGGTCTGGATAATGTATAGTATAACTTAATTTGTTTCTTTCCCCTCTTTGTGGGCGCAGGTGAGTAGCCAAATGAATATGCGCAAGCTTTTAGTTGTGGATGTGACAATGGACTACAAAGGTGAAGGTGGACCAAATACTGCACACACTCCAGGCAAAGGGAATCCTCCAGCTAAAGGAGCCAATAATGCTTAGTTTTAAAATCTTCATCTTTAGCTTCATCTTTTGCCTTTAGCTCGGCTCCTTTGAGAATATCATATTGATAAGTAAATAAGTTACAGATTAAGTACTTGAATGTTATCATGTGTAATTTCAGAGGCATGAATACATGTATTTCCTTTAACTTGTAATATACGAGTTATTAATTTTTGTGGTAATCATGGCGTCTAGGTTAGATTGCGTACATCTCGATTGCTATTTGCTATCTCCCATCAATATAAGTACAGAGTAACTCGATCCACTATAACTTGAACAGATAGTAAGAAATTACCTAATATTTTGCCTCCACTGAATTTTGAACAAGAAATCATAATGTTCCCCCTACTTCATTGAACACCAAGCCACATATATCAGTTATTAATTACTAATTAAAAGAAATGAAAAGGAACAAATGGAAAAGTAAAGGTGATATTGAAGATCCTCACAAAACATATGATAAATTTTACAAAACCCCAAATGTTCATAATTTTGTGGGGTCCAAAAGAAAAAAAGAATGGCAAGGGTACATTTGATTTTTTACATCCATCATCATAAATTTCACATAAAATAATCAAACCAATATCCAACGCATGACAGAGTTTGCTCTCTTCTTACGAAAAGTCATCTTTTCTCTTCTTCTTCTTCTAATCATACAGATCACTATTGACATAGACCAAATTATAGACTAAATAATTCCTTAAATTTTGCATATATTTTAATAAGATTTTTCTAGTAATCTACTTAAGCACAAATCATTTCACAAGTTTATGAAGTTAAAAACAAAATTCTCTTCTCAATTTTTATTTCTTTTTGGACGACTATTGTTAGTCATATTATTTCAACTATTTCTTTTATCCATTAGGTCTACATGAAATTATATGTTTGAATAAATAATTAAATAAATAAAAATATATTCTCTAAAAAAAGTAAAACTTTTAGAATGAGATGGTAATACAATTCAATAATAATCCTACGACGTTGTTAAATTAATTAAAATGTTACAGAGAGATGGCGTTTAATCTCTTTGTCGTTGGTGATCGGAATTAGTATAAAATTTAGGATTATATTTATCACACATCTAATTATTATTATTATAATATTAAAATCTTGATATTATTTATCGGATATGAGATTATAATCTCGGGATATCCGACATTTTTAATATTCAGACAGGAAAATAAAATTAGGCATTCGAAACAGCTCATAATACTTGTCACCAAATAATTGGTTCGATCTTCTATGAAAAATCCACGTCATTTTGTATGGCCCACTTTTATCGGCAGCCCACAATTGAGCTGGCCCATTTAGATGGTAGTCCAAACTCTTTCTTACCTTCACTGAGGACCTTCTTCAGTTCTTCAACTCTTTTCAACTGTTTCTCAACTAACAGTTGAATACGTTGGCAAGTATTAATCTCTTACTTAATCACATCTTAGCTCATTAATCCTAATTAATTTTCCTCTCTTATAACTCCTAAATCTCGATATATAAGCTCATTGTGCTGTAAAATCCTTTGAATTAATCGATTTTTCTGGCAGAAATTTAGCTTAAACAATGCCGGGAATAGTTTCAGTCAAAACGCCACCGGAGGCTCAGCCGTTGAGAATATCAGTTCCGGATGAGTCCAACGGGCGGGTCGGAGCAAGTTCGGAGAGATCCGAACCCGTTAACCCGAAGAGTAACTCTCCTGCGCCGCGAAGACCTCCTTCACCGTCGCCTTCAACTTCACGCGCCAAGCCGTCACCAGATCGGAGCTCAGGAAAGAAGAAATCGCCACCAGAGAAGATTGTCATCGACGAGTCGTCTCTTGACAATCCCGATCTAGGACCGTTCCTGTTGAAGTTAGCGCGTGACACGATTGCCTCCGGCGAGGGACCGAACAAGGCGCTAGATTACGCTCTACGCGCTGCGAAGTCGTTTGAGAAATGCGCGATTGACGGCGAGCCGAGTTTGGATCTGGCGATGAGCCTCCACGTCGTGGCGGCTATATACTGTAGTCTCGGGAGGTTCGAGGAGGCGATTCCGGTGCTAGAAAGGGCGATTAAAGTGCCAGAAGTCTCAAAAGGTGCAGATCACGCGCTCGCGGCGTTCTCAGGGTATATGCAGCTCGGTGATACTCATTCTATGCTTGGACAGTTAGATCGGTCGATTGAATGTTACAAAGATGGTTTGAAAATACAGATGGAAGCTTTAGGAGATACAGATCCGAGAGTGGCTGAGACTTGCAGGTACTTATCAGTTATCATAATGTCTCTTTGTTCATTTTTTTGTATGAAATTTTAGAGCTGAATGTATATTAAGGATTCTTATAGCTGGAATTAAATGATTCGAGATTCAGGTATAGTTGATTGATATTGTTTTACAGTATCAATTAAAATGTAATGCATTGAAGCAGGGGTGGAGCTATGTAGAGCCAAGGGGGTTCAATTTATCCCCTTCTTCAAAAATTTATGCTAAATAGAGTAAAAATGATTTTTGTTGGTTATGTATGAACTTTTAAACCCCTTTCATACAAGGGAAGATTCTAGTGTAGTAGCAAATGTAATGGGCGAAAATTGATTTAAGTTACAGGTTCTCAAATCCCAAGTGTGATGTTCTAATATTCTTTTGAAGCTCGTTGCATAAATTCCTGGCTCCGCTGCGGTGCTAGTCTAGCTAATTTCACTTTTATAATTTTATGCTGTGTTTATATTGTGAAAGCTGTTATTAGTTGAAGCATTATTAGGATTCAGATGAAATATTATCAGCAGAAGACAGGGACAAATGTAATGCTATTCATACTTGAAAAGTTAATGAAATGTAATTGATACACTTCCAATTAGCGGAGTCAAATTTGATAGAGATGCATTTTTCAGGGAAGTGAATGGGTTCTTTAGGAAGTCCAGTTAACAGATCCATCTGATCGAGGTTAATTTCATCCAACTTGGCCAATTCTAGTATAATGTTCTCTCTTAGAAAATCTTTTTTCTCGTACTTTTATAGGATAGTCATGTGATCACCTACTAATTCTTTGTCCTCATGAAATAAGATTCTTGCTTTTGCTATTCTTCTTTGGCTTAGGGGGCTATAGGCGCTGTAATGTTGGGCATGCGTCATATGGTGTTGTCCTGTTGGTTGGCTGAAAATATGTTCTTTTTCATTCAGAATGTTTTTTATAAATAAAACTTAACTTAACACTTCATATAAACTTCATTTTCGGGACTTTGTTGAGACACAACAGCATATATTGGAAGGCCGGTGTTCTTTGGTGGAGTGGTTTTATGATGGTAGTGGGGGATTAACTGTCAACTAAAGAATACTTATTTCTTATTTCTTTTTTTAAAAGAAAAGAAAGGAAAAATAGAAACAAAAGGATACTTATTGTTGATTGGTATCTTTTTTAGCAGATTCTGGCAACTTGCGGAAGTCTGAGTTGCGTCACATCTAATTTACACATTTATGTTTCCGTGGCTTGTTTTCTTTTGTTAGTTTATGTTTTTCCCCTGAAAATATATTCACATTTTGAAAAGATTCAAGGAGTAGAAAACTAATCCTTTTTGTACAGTGAGTAATGTGTTAGTCAATCAAGTATTTTAGGCTGCCTCTGGCAATTACGTGTAAATAGGGTGTTCAGCAAAGTAAACCATGAAACTATAGTAGGTCGTTCTTTGTTCATGATTGCTGTGAGAATCATTAATGTAATCATCTCAGGGGGATGGCATTAATCTGCTCAATATGGCTGCTTTACGTTTGAGGGCATAAATTACCATTCCTTTTACATGTGCTAGTTTGTGTAACACTCTTCTTTTGTACTATTTGATTGACAAGTCTTTGCAACTGCCTATGTGTTTCTTTGGCTCTAACTGAGGCAACTGAATTGGAAATTTTGCAGGTACTTGGCCGAAGCCCATGTTCAGGCAATGCAATTTGATGAAGCCGAGAATTTGTGCAAGAAAACACTGGAAATCCATCGTGTACACAGCCCACCTGCTTCTCTTGAAGAGGCAGCTGATCGTCGTTTAATGGCTCTCATATGTGAGGCTAAAGGCGATTATGAGTCAGCCCTTGAACACCTTGTACTTGCAAGCATGGCTATGATCGCCAATGGACAGGAAAACGAGGTTGCAGCTATTGATGTTAGTATTGGGAACATCTACTTGTCTCTGTCTCGCTTTGATGAGGCTGTCTTCTCCTATCAGAAGGCACTTACTGTTTTCAAATCATCTAAGGGAGACAACCATCCTTCAGTTGCATCTGTCTTTGTAAGGCTGGCTGACCTATATTATAAGACAGGAAAACTGAGGGAATCCAGATCCTATTGTGAAAATGCTCTAAGAATATATGCAAAACCTGTGCCTGGAACAACTGCAGAAGAGATTGCTTGTGGATTGACGGAAATTTCAGCTATTTATGAGTTATTTAATGAACCTGAGGAGGCACTGAAACTCCTTCTGAAGGCAATGAAACTTTTGGAGGATAAACCAGGGCAGCAAAGTACGATTGCTGGCATTGAAGCACGGATGGGTGTTATGTTCTATATGGTGGGAAGATATGAAGAGGCACACAGTTCCTTTGAAAATGCTGTAGCAAAACTTAGAGCTGGGGGTGAGAGGAAGTCAGCCTTCTTTGGGGTTGTTTTGAATCAGATGGGATTGTCTTCTGTTCAATTGTTCAAAATAGACGAGGCTGCTGAATTATTTGAAGAAGCAAGACAAATTCTGGAACAGGAGTGTGGTCCTTGTCATCAAGATACTCTTGGTGTGTACAGCAATCTTGCAGCAACTTATGATGCATTGGGAAGGTAATGTCATATTTGAAAGTATGTTCTTCAGTACCTTGGTTGAACCTTGCTGATTAATCCACTGGTTTTTTAAATCTGCATTGCACATGTACTAATTTTTTTAAAACAATTTGCAATGTATTTTAGATTTTAATTCTCCCTTAATTTGATTAATTTTCACTTTGAGTAGCATTATTATTATCACTCTCGCAGTGCTCACATTATCATGTTTCTTCTGCTTGGAATTTGAAGTAGAAAATTGAGACAAATGACAAATCCTGTATTTTCAATTTTTCCCTCTTGCTTTAAGATTGTTATGTATTCTTTAGGGTGTCAACTTATCACCAACCAATATTTTCATGAAATTTGTTTACACGAACTGCACTTTTTGATGGACGATGTGTAACTTTTAAAGGTTCATGTGCCTAGCTCGCTTACTGCCCTTCTAAAGAAAACAATGCCTTCCCAATCTGCAGGCTATAGCAAACTAAATGAGCATGTCTATAATACACATACCTTAATCCACTCATTTATTTATAGTATCACACGATTACATACATCTTTGTTTATATATAGCTATTCGTTATTAATTATAATAATTTCGAAAGAATTGGTTATGCATATTGCTGTTCGTTCCGCATGGATCAAATGTGTATGTTGTTGACTGGTCGGATTAATCGTTGTGAAGAATGATTGTTGCTTTGATTCTATTCTACTTTCTAAGAAGAAAAAATATTAGAAGAATGAAAGAGAAAGATCTCATTTTATATTTTTAATGGAAGCAAGATGTGTTGCTTAGTTGTGTGATCTCAGCTAAATATCAATTCAATTAGCATTTTGATAGTGACATGCACATGCAGTTGCTCTATGACATATCCTTTCAACTGCTTTGTGATGTTCATCTTGTTTTTGATTTATGTATTGCAGAGTTGATGATGCCATTGAGATTTTGGAGTATGTTCTTAAATTGAGAGAAGAGAAACTTGGAACTGCAAATCCTGATTTTGATGATGAGAAGAAAAGGCTGGCCGAATTATTGAAAGAAGCAGGCAAATCTCGCAACAAAAATGCGAAGTCCTTGGAGAACCTTATCGATCCCAATTCTAAAAGAACAAAGAAGGAGCCGTCGAGGAAGTGGTCTGCCTTTGGGTTTAGGAGTTGATTGTTAATTCGGATGCATTTTATGTAACATAGGAGATCATGTATAGAGCTAATCTGTAATTTGTGAGGCATGTTGTTTGTTTGCCATTTGAATTGCCATTGATGTTCATTTTCAGCGTTGTTCAATTGGTTATTGTTTTGTGATTTAAAAGATGTTTCTGCCAAGACTATAATTCTGCTTTTTCTTGTGTCTCTCCTACATTCCATGAAGTTGATATATATGCCATTAGAAAGTAGGTATTGCGATTGATCTTTTCATTTGAACGCAGAGAAACATGCTTTCTTTTAGGCATTATGAAAACTTGATGATTGTCATATGGGTATTGCGATTGATCTTTTCATTTTCATTTTTCGTGTCAGTCTATAGGTAATTGATTTGAACTCCAAGGTTTTGATTAAATGGAAGTTATATTTTTATACAAAAAAGTATTTATTTTATTGCAATGATTAAGCAATAATAAATGACCTGCAACTCAATAAATACTGTTCTGAAATTTCTGCATTTCTATGACTCCAGCAGAAATACCAGAACAAGTTGCTATTTTCAGAAGAATAACAATTTTGGTTCCTAAAGATTCAGTAAGGTTACTCTTCAGTCCTCAACGATGAGATGGATGGTTGACTGGTTGTACACTTGTACTTGAGCTTGTTTATGAGTCTGGCCCAGGAAATGGGTACAATAAAGTCCATAGACATTTAATTTTAGCCCATAACATTTTTATTTATGGAAGGTAAATTGCCAAAACCTTGACCCATGATTGTGAAATTTTTGCCCAATGTTTCGTAGATGACTTTTTCTTTTTTTATTTCTCTTGCAAACTTTTCGACTACGGTATACAGATTCTTTTATAGCAGATTAAAAATCTTATCAGAAAATGTTAAACCATGGTTTAAATTTTTATAACGTATTGCAAAAGGTTGGACAACAATTTAATATTTTGTGAGCAAACTTAAAAAAATATTAGGGAACATTAGTTTCGAGTCTAACGGTGGCCGGAAGGAATAGGGCTATACTTGCACAATTTGTTAAACTAGGGACGAGCAAAGAAATTCAAAAATAGCCAGATTTACAAGTGGTCGTTCAAAAATAGCCCAGTTTCAAAAGTAATCGAAATTTAGCCACTTCTCACGTATAGATAAATCTGAACGAAAACACTGTTCAAAATCCAGAAAAATACTCCAACATAATATACTGGAGTTCCAGGATAATATACCGGTCCAACATAATATGCTGGAAGTTCATGCACAGGTGCACCGAACTCCAGTATATTATGCTGGACCGGTCTCTGTTGCAGAAAAATAGTGGTTATTTTTTATTGACTTGGTAAACGCTGGCTATTTTTGAATAACCAGTCCGAAAACTGACTAGACAATGCTATTTTTACCAAAATGTCTGATTCATTTTCTCGGCCCATGTATTAATTTATGTCTTTATTTCGTCTTTAGAACATGGAACCTTTTGTTTATTATTTCCTAAAGACATCCATAAAATTGTTATATATAATCAATTTTCTTAAATACGCACTATTAAATGGGTTCAGATTCGTGCTTGGTTAAGATAAAGAGCCACTCTAATGGTGTTAGAGTGTCTCACTTCTGTTGAGAAAATATACTATTGTCTCCTTATAGGGTCTCAGGTAATTTCAATCTTTGCCCAAGATTCTTTTTCCTTATATGATATTTAAGTTTTGCTTCACTTTCTCAACAGTATCAAAAGAAAATAACAATAATAAATAAGGAAATAATTGATTGCAAGATCGAAGCAGAGAATTTCAAGAAATCAGAAAAGTAAAATGTGTATTTTAATATTATTTCAAATGTCCCTTTACAAATAATATTCTGTGCAATGTACAATAGTAACGGTTTCCCCCCATAATTTGAGCTAATTATGAGCATTAATGATATTGATTGCTCATTATTTTGGATTCTTATAACTGATGCATCTATTGCTATAAATGCCTTACATCTGTAACGATTTCCCTTCCTTATTTCTTTCTGGTCCATGTATCTTTCCTTCTTTCTATTATTTGTTCATTCTTTGCCAGCTAGGCCCGGTATATTTCGTGGGTGTTTCTTCCTGTGTCTTTTCTTACTCTTTCAAATAAGACTGCCACGTGTTGCTATATTATTGTTCTACACGTTACGCCATGTCAGCAGTCTAATATTTCACATGTAGCTCTTTTTGGTACAATACCTATATTATATCGTTCACACTTCAAGTATCGATCCGTAATTATGCAATGTTGTTCAAACAAAATGCAATACTTAAAATTAATCATTTTGTTAAACGTGCAACTTATCTTTCAGCCTATGTAATGTCACATGAATGGTGCACTTATTGGAGTTAGCTTCACTAAAAGAGACCTCTCAATGTACAATAGCAATTCAATAGTCTCTTTCTATTTACCCTTTTGAGAAAAAAAAGATAATAGACAGAATAAACAAGCATTACCATATTATAACTATGATGTAACATATGACAATTTGGGTCCATTCATCTCAAATAACAAATCCAAAAAAGTGAGGTAACATTTGGTGCTAATCTTAACCTTTTCTGAAGACAAAACAAAGAGAAATAATGATGCAAAAAACTCTTTCGAAAATATAGTACTTTCTTCGGTCTATAATAAGTGATTTTTTTGGTCCAAAATAAGTGTTCTTTTATATGATTTCAAGAAAGAATTAATTTTATTTTTCCAAAATTTTTCCCTTATTTATATATCCCAATGTGTCGAGGTAATAATATGTAAATTTTAATTAAGGGTAATTTTGTAAATATATATATTTTTCTTTAGGAGTTCGTATTTTCTTAAGGACTTGCCAAAGACCAAAACGTCACTTATTATGAACAGGAGAAAATAATTTATATCCTTTTTTACATTTCAAGAATTGTTACGTATAAAAAGGGTGTCTTGTTTTGGGTTTATTCTCACATGGTGATCTTTGTGCACCCTTCAATTTGCTACAAGACTACACTGATGAGACATGTGATAGGTTTTACTAGGTTGTCAAAGAAAATAGGAAACAAGAAAAATAGGGTGACATAAATAGGAGAAAACATGCTTCAATTTGAAACTTTACTATATCATACACATGTTGTTGTCAACAATAATCTCAAGAAGTTGGAAAAAGTTTGGCACTGATTTTCAAGTGGAATTGGATTCATGGAATATTGGAATTATGATTTTTTGATGTTCGCATGTTTATATTTATTCCTATTCCCTCCTTATCCACCTAGAGCTGGACGTAGGGCGAGCTCTACGTATATATATATATATATATATATATATGTTTATTTTCTTGGCATATCCAATGGTTTTATGCACAGAAGTATCAACGACGTTTTTTTGTTATCTTTTTGAAAAAAATATATATCGCGAATAAGTATATCCAAAGATAGATTTGAGCAATTTCTATCAGTCTTAAACCGAAATTAAAAGTGAAAAACATAAAATATTAGATGGACAAAAATTTTTTCCAAAAAAAAAGTGTTGCAAATTGAAGCAAATTATGCACGATTTGCTGCTACAAAATCCAGATTAGATGCTTACAATGTAAAATAAGTAAGACGTTTAAATTGCTCACATTACAAAAATGAACAAGGAGGCAAAATTATAAAATAAAAAAGAAGAAGGTCCTTTTGGGTTCGACTGCAGCTTAGACTTTACTTGATGCTAGAGGTCCTTTTTAATTATTAAAAAAAGGACCCTATATATAATAAATATATTTAAGTCATGATTCTCATGTTTATTATTCCCTCCTATTCATAAGCTTAAACTTTTTGCGCGCTATTTATGAAAGACATTTAAAAGTTTAAATTATAAAATTACTTCATCCGTTCACTTTTACATGGCATGTATACTAAAATAGATGTTCATTTTTACTTGTCACTTTACGCATATTAAGAGAAGATAATTTTTTTTCCCATTATACTCACAGTATTTATTATTCATTTCAAATCACTTTCTCAAATTCAATAAAATGTGCATCAATTAATATGTATATTATAGTAAATTATACACTTCATTTATTATTTTTTAAGGGGCGTGAAAAGTCAAAACGTGCCAAGTGAAAGTGAACGGAGGAAGTATATATATGCTTACCTATTCATTTATATCTTCTTAAACAACTCACTTAATTAACACTTTAGTAATAAGAATAGCAATATTAAATTTGGATTTTTTTTCTAATGCAGTGACTATTTTGAAATAAATTCTATTTGGTAAAATGATTATGTTGGGAGCGGCTAACTCATACTCCCTCGCTCCACAATAAGTAACCACTAACCATTTTACCTTTTTATTTTGGTCCAAAATAATTGTCCATTTATATAATAAAAAAGAAATTAATTTTTTTTTAAAATTTGCCCTTATTTACATATTTCAATATGTCAAGGTAACAATTAATTAAGATTAATTTATTAAATACATTTTTTTTTCCTCTAGAAGTTCGTATTTTTCTTTATGGGTGTACAAAAAATAAAATGAACTTTATTGTTGACGGGAGAGAGTAGTATAATACGACCTATAATGTCTCGATATTCATAAAGAGTTATTGGAAAAGCTGCATGTATTAATATCTCATGATTCGCAACTTGTTAACATTTTTTTAATTGATAAAGAAAGTGAAATTATTGCATCTTTAGTATACTACTCTCTCCTGTCCAAAATAAGTGATTTTTTAAAGCTATTTTCATACGAATTAAGAAATCTACCTTTTAACATTAATTAGCAATAAAATTGACAATATTAATCTTTACTATCTCTTCATATAAATACTCCTAACATATATTCCAATACTATTTATTCCAAGGACAATGTAGGAAAAAATAATTAATTCATTCTTGAAATCTGGAAAAATCACTTATTTTGGACCACAAAAAGGCCAAAAATTACTTATTTTGAATCGGAGGGAGTACGGTCTTTTTTAAAAAGAATTAATTTAAATAGTCGCGCAATCTAACAATGAATTCAATCGGTTATTTGTATAAAAATCTTTTTTATAAGCTTAAATTTATATAAAATAGTTGAATAATGACTCATACTCTAATTTCCATTAATTAGTACATATAATAATTTTTTTGACCTATAAAAATTGGTGAATTTTCACAATTTAAAAAAAAAAAATCTTGCAGGATCTCCTGAAAACTGAAACACCAAATAAACTTTTTACGCCCATTGGGA